GGCCACAGAAGCCAAACAGTGAATACCTTATTCAGCTATTCCTTTGCCAGTGAAAATGGAGTGAATAGTCTGAGATCTAACCTATAGATGGTCATGGAGAAGCCTGGCATGAATAAATCATAAGGGAAGCTTATGGTAGTTGAACACATTTGCTTCTTTTGCACATAAGTAACTCTAACTCTTTAGCGTAAGTGGGGTAAGAGACAGAAATAACCCAGATAACTGTACTGTCAGAACAGCAAATATATTCATCTTTGGAAAAACTTGCATGCAGACTTCAGTGGAGCAGAGAAGCCTTTTAAAATCGATGGCTAGTGTAGGACCTCCTGGGAGGCACATATGCTTTCTGTTATAGATTGAGCTGAAGCCAGAAATGCTGGAGTAAAGCAGGGTTCACAACCTACATATCCCTACCTGGCTATAGGCACAAAGTGCCACTCATAGTATAAACAGAAGCAGTCTAGTAAAACTAGACTCAGATACACCTACCACTATAGGGTTTTGGGTTGTCCAGATTAAAATTGTTATCAGAGGTTTGCATCTGTCTTTATGTCAGGACTTAATTTTGGATTGAGGTGTTCCAGTAGTGATTTATCAAAGTTGTTATTTTGGGATTTGATCAAAGCTCTTTATTTTATGTGCTTTGCCTGCAAATTTCTGAAATAATACCTTGTGTCTGCCTATGCCAGTCAATTTTTGAAATTTATGTAGCTAGTAGTTATATAGGAGAGGCGATTATATCCACTGCAAATAGAAAATTTTAGATATGTCTTCCACCAGGATCTTGTATTTGGCACAGAATAAATGTCTCTATAACCAAGAGAATCAACAGGGAATTAAAATGTAATTACAGTTTAGATATTAATTATAAAAATTACTTTATACGAATAATAATCTTAAGAAACACTTAAAATTTACATAGCACGGTGAAAGAAAAACCCATTATTACGAAAATACTTATGGGGTAAACGGACTTGGGAAAATTGCTACATACGGGAAACTGCGCTTGTTCTCATCGCCTGGATACCGGAAAAAAACCAGGTTCTGCCAAAAAACTGAACAAAATGCTCCCTCTTGTGGTGCAAACTCGGGAATTTACAGGAGAGTACAGGGCAGCAGCTGAAGGCCGGGAGGCTGCCTGCTCCTGCAGCTGCAGCCGGAGCTGACAGGTTTGGGAAGTTCTCTGAGCTGCGAGAAACCTGGATTTACTTCTGTTTTGTTGCGATTGTAAGTGCGAGGAAGGCAGTGTTTCATTTTGAAGGCTGAAAGAGGGGCACAGGTGAGGGTTTTTTTTTTTTGGTGATTTTTTTCTTGTTTGCTATCATTTCTCTCTTCCTATGGAATAAAATGGAAAGCTCCCCCACTACCCCAGCATAGGTACTCTTTATTGATCCTAGATTCTTCTGTGGAAAAAGCCCAAAGAGTGACACAAAAATGGAATTGTGGGTGACAGGGATACAGGCAGAGAAGTGGAAGGAGATGGGAAGTGGGCATGTGAGTATTTTGGACTTGTGTTGTGGAAATGCTGGGCTAAGATTCATGGCTTGTGGCTCTTGTCAGACCTAATATAATCACAGAACAAAGATTTGATTATTAATCAGAAGAACAAATAATAAAAATCAAAGATGAGGAAAGAATATTTAGGTTTGGATTTGTTTCCTTCTGGAAAAGATGGAAGTATGACAACAGGTGACACCTGTAAGAGAGACAGAGCTGAACAAGGCTGAGCTTAAATGTTGAAGCTGGAGGGAAGAACACTGAGGTACAATAAGTGGCAAGAGATGACAGAAGAGCTGGCTAAGATGGAGGCACCTTGGGTATTTGTCAGAGTAACAGTGTGGATTTCAGAAATTCAGCTGTTAATTACACAAAAGGGCCTAGACTTGTCTTTCCACAACAGACCTGGTTATTCATCTTTTTGCAGGTGTCTCTGTTCTGCACTTTTCCCCTACCAGATACTGTTTTTTCATTTCAGAAGAAAAAGGAGAGGATACCTTACACACCCTTAGTTAAGACAAAGGCTGTTTAGAATATCCATTTGCCTAAAAGTATCACTTTTATTAAACGACATTCAGATATGTACCTTACCTTGATGCAGCTGAGTAACTGAAATGAGCATTTGACAAATTTTTAATTTGGCTGTCCTGAAATACATAATTTAGAATGTAGGTGTATTTAAAAAAATACTCGCTGGTAAACTATGGTAACCAACTCAGCTCTCTAGCTGCTGAAAACAGTAAAAGGATCAGAACCCCTCACAAACTGGTAGTAACAATGACTATTTCTGTGCCATTTTTAGTTGTACGGGCTTTTCCAAGCAAATGACTCAGAACACTTTTATTTCTGAGATATATTGTGAACCCTGTGTAACTTGTAATTCAGCTACGAAGTCTGATAGAGCTAGATTTCATGCAGGTGAGCATTCATTGCCTGAGCCCATATTTAAACACAAATAACAGCCTTTCTTTCCCTCTAATATTGTTTCACATAATTGTGTGGTGGTTAGGCAATTTTACAAAGCAATCTCGGCAGTCGGAATGTCATGTCCTCATGGGCACTGTTAGCCTTGATCGTCCCGGCCCAGCATAACCTGAGGCTCCCTCTGAGCCCTACCCACGGTTCAGGACCAATTTCAGCCCAGCCCAGGCCTTCAGCCCCTCACTGAGCGGTTCCACAGTCATGCTGCTGTGTTCTGCACGTCTCTGCTTTACTCCATGGCTAAATTTTGGACCCATCTTGCCTCTCGCATCTCGCCAACCCTGCCTCACAAATACTCCTGGCTCAGAAATAAAACTGAGGAGAGGGATTTTCTCCTTTGACCTTGCAGTTACCGCTACCTCTGCAGGGCTGCTCCCGGGAAAGCGCACGGGCGGAGCCCTGCTCCCGCGCGCTATGCAGAGGCGGCGCGGGAGCGGGACGCGCCTCGCCTCCGAGGGGAGCAGCCACCTCCTTCTCCGACGGCCGAGAACGTGTCAGGGCGTGTCCCACTCCCTTTCTTCTTTTTTCTCTATTACCCAACGTAACGCTGACTGCTGCATGCCTCACCCGTGCCGTGCAGCTGTCCCCCCGAGCCCATTATCGTGAGCACAGAGATATCGCGACCGAGGGCGAGGGGGGAAAGGGTCCCGCCTGCCCTCCCTCCTCTTCCCCCTTCCCCCACTCTCTCCAGCTGCGGCAGGGCGCAGCCAGACCGCACCGCGCTTCGGGATGGTGGGATGCTGCATCGCGGCAGGTGTGGCATGGAGAGCTCTGCGCCCCAAAGGCTGCAGAGCAAGCGTTAAACCACCAGGAAAACGCGGAGATACGAAGCAGAACTAGGAAAATAAAACCCCATAAAAGTAAAAAATGAGGAAAATACTGGCTTGCGAACGCTTTCACGAAAATATAAGGAATTGTCCCTGTCCGGTGAACCCTCCGTGTCCATGATTCTCCTTTCCTCCCTTCCTCCTTTCACGCACAGGGCTTTTGTGTGACCGCGGGGGAACAACGGGGACTCCCGCCGCGCTGCCAGGTCGTCCCTGAGCCTCTCCTCTGGCATTTCGGACCGGCTCCCCGCCCTAACAGCGGCTGGGTGGATGCTCGGCACAGCTACAGGTTGCGGTGTGTGAAACACACTCAAATGTATTTTATTGCCCGATAGTTTTCCTTCGTGGGAATGTCCGGGAAGCGTGACACCGCACATCACATCTCACACCACGGCCCTCAGAAGAACACCCTGGCGGCCGCACCCTCCCTCTCCACATGCCCTGCTCCCCTTTTGATCCATATCCGTCGAAAATACAAATTGGGCTTAACCTTATCACGACTCTACTACGCATTTCTCACTCGGTTCTTGTCCCCAGATAAATGGGAAACAGCTTCCATTGTTCTTGCTGAAAGATGGTGCTGTTGGCTTTCAAACCCTGGCGTTGCCGGACCGCTCCCCTTGAGCCAAAGGTTCCTTCCAGACGTACCGCCACCGCGGTCCGTTCCCAGCGGCTCCGCTCCACTGGCCTTCCTGGGCTGCCGGTCCCGGGGCCGGTCACCCGGCGGAGCCAGGGCCCTGCCCGGCCCAGCCCAGCCCAGCCCAGCGCAGCCCAGCCCAGCCCGGCCGCCGCTCGTGGAGCAGAGGGCGCCGCAGCTCCGCACATCGCCCGCCGCCGCCGGGCTCCCGCAGCGTGTAGCGGGCGCGGAGCAGCGAGCATGGCGCACCCGACCCCCGCCACAGCCAAGCTGTAAAAAGAGAGCGGTGGGAGAGTGCGGGCAGCACCCTCGGTTGTGCTGTGGCAGGCTCAGGGATGCTTTGGAACAGAGGGAGATCTGGAGGGATAGCAGTCCTGAAGCCCCAGCGACGTTCAGGCCAGCTCTTCAGCTGCAGGAGCGCCCGGGAGAGATCCAGTCTCTTGAGAAATGTGCTGCTTTCCTATGTTTTCCTGCCTTTTGTGTTTAACCGGCATACCCTCTCCTTAAGCGTGCCAAGAGCATCCAGGCCTGGGAATTTTTAGTTTCTTCCGCCCGTGCCGCCCCTCTGCGCGGTGCAAACGGCTTTGCCGCTCCCCGAGAGGGCTGCAGTTGTAGGCAGGCGGCCCGGCTTGCCCGCTCCCTCCGCCGCACAGTATCCCAGCTCCGCCGGGGACGGGCGGTCCGCCCCATGGTGCACAGTCGCCCCCGCTGCGGTTCGGATGCGGAGGGTCGCAGAGCGCTCCGCACCTCGCCGTGCCGCTCCCGCTCTCCTCGGGGCAGGGAGGTTGGCCGCCCCCTTCCCCTTTTTTTTGAGGGGTGTGGGGGTATGATGCTGCAAGGTGCGTTCGCGGACCCGCGATCCAGCCCCCCCCCCCTTCCCCCGCAGCCTGCACGGCTGATATTTAAACCTGGGGTCCGTGCGCCCCCTAAGCGCGAGCACCACGCAGCGCATCCCCCGCCCGCCAGCCCGGAAAATAAATAAATAAAACGTGTGGCTTTTGAACTGCCCACAGACTGTCACAGGGAAGGGGGGAGGGAAGGAAAGAGGGAGGGGGAGAGAGTGAGAAATGCAGAGGCAGCAGCCGCGGTAGCGGCGGCAGTGCTCCAGCAGGCACTAGGCACTCCAGTCCCAGCGAGCGAGCGGGCGAGGGCCACAGCGCTCCGAGCGAGGCGAGGGGGCTCTGGGCTACCTGGAACTCTCTCTGTGACACCCCAGCACACAAACACACCGACAGGGACAGAAGAAAAACATAAAGGTAAGACGAGGTGTGTCTCACTTATTTACACAGCAGCCCGCGAGAGCTTTGCCATTTTTATCATTTCCCCTCCTTCCGTTGTGTCTCGATTGTGGGGAGAGGAGATGTGCATGTGAATCGGTAAGAGCAGAGAGAGCGGAGCAGCCCGGGAGGCGCCTGCCTGGGCACATTTTAGGAATATCGCTGCAAGGAGCTCGATTCCTCGAGAAGGGACCACCTGAGCGCGGGATCGAGGCACACAACGGACCGAAAGCGATTCCATGAGATTTAAATGCCCGGGAAGGCTCTCTTGGGGAAGGGTGGGGGTAGCGGTGGGTGTGGTGGGAATAATAGTGGTTTATGCCAAATTTCTTTTCGGTGCTTTTAGCCTGTTTCCAAAGGGAGTCTGCTTAATTAATAACAATAATTTAAAATAAAAAGAGGGAAAAAAAAAAAAGAAAAGAAAAAAATAGAAAGATGCCCCAAGCTCTCCATGAAAGGAAGCGCTGCGAGAAGAGCACGCACAGCGCCCTGCCCTGCGCAGGGCGGGGGGCAGGGGGCGGCGGTGCTGCAGGGGGACCGCGGGGTCCGGGCGGCTGGTGGGGGGGCTCCACGGGGTGCGGCAGGCGTGGGGCGGGCGAGGAGCGGGAAGTGGCGCTTGCCCACTGGGGCCAGGGACAACGCGATTGTCCCTGGCGAGGCGGCGCGGAAGCCGGTTAAGCGTCCGCGTGGACACGCCGGCGGGTTCAAAGCGCTTCTCCTGGCTGGGCAGCACACGTCGGGGCTCGGCGGCTCGGCTGCCCGAGCAGGGGCTACGGACCCGCCGTCAAACACGACAGGGACCGCCGCTGCCGCCCGCCGCGCTATGCCCCGATGCGCCCATTCTATGAATATTCACCGACTGCCGCTCCCCGCTCCCACAGGTCCCCATTAACACTCTGGTTTCTCGTTTCCCCCCCACCAAAGAACGCTACAACTCCTGTCGACCTTTTTTTTTTCCCTTTCCCCTCCCGACCCGCCGTGTCGCCTCTTCCCTATGCACACGCGTGTCTTTCAAACGCGGCCCCCGCAGGGCGCTTTCTCCGCGCCTCAGCTGGGCGTGGCGGCTTACGCGGGAAAGGGGAGGCGGACATACGCACACCCCCGGGACACCCCCACCCTCCTGCCACGCAGGGTGGGCACCACGCGGGGGGATGCGGGGCAGAGGGGGGCATGCGGAACAGAGCGCGGGATGCGGGGCGACGGGGAGGTGCGGAGTGGAGCGGGGATGCGCGGCGGAGGGAGACGCGGGGCACAGGGGGATGCGGAAGCCCCCGCCGCCCCATCCGCGCCTTTGTCCGTGCTCCGCGCATGCGCGGAAGTGGCGCGCGGCCGGGGCCGGCGGCGGAACAAAGGCGTCGCGCCGCGACCCCCGGGTGCTGCCCCCGCCCGCCCGCCACCAGCCCCGGCGCGGTTCATCGGGACGAGCCAGCGCTACCCCGGCGCATTTCCTTCCCCGCGCTGCGCCTGGCTTAGCTTTGGCATTTGCTTCTATGTGCGATGGCGGAGCGGATCCGTGCTCCCTCTCGTCTCACCCACAGAAAATTTGGCATTTAGGAAGGGGAAAAGGCAGGCCGTGCTGCCCACAGCGGGTTTCGGTCGGCGGCCGTCGAGCACCCGCGGGTGCTCCCAGAGCTCCTATGCCCCGGGCTCCAGCACCCGCCTCTGTCAGTGGCCTTGGGGCAGAAGACGTGGGTCAGGGGGTCCCTTTGCAGCAGCGTGGGGTGTTTCGTGGCTTGCTCTGAGCAAAGAGGGCGAGGCGAGTTGCGGTGTACGTCCGCAGTAGGAAGCCCCGCGGAGCAGCGACGCCGCCGGGACGCGCTCCCCGCCGGGCTCTGTCTGGGAGACCCACGCGTGCTCTGCGCTCCGGCGGGCGCTCTCTTGAAGCATCTCCCTCTGCCCAGGGGAAGCAGTGTATCAAGAGGAAGATTGTGTGCGTGCGTGTTAGTGCGACATCTTGAGATCTCTTTTGTTCGAATTGTTGTGTCTCGATGCTGGCATTGATGCCTGTTCCTTCTTCACTACTCTTCTTTCCCAACTTGTGTCCAAAATTCGAGTATATATATTTCTTTTTAGAGGGAGCATGCTTAAGCCCGTTTGAAATGTATAATTTTGTAAGCTAATGACAGTTTCTGAACAGAAGACGACTGGTGTGTTAGGCTGGAGTTGAGTTAAAGCTGACAAAAGAATATTGCCAGTGGGCTGCTAAACAGGCGATGGCAGTGGATTTTATTGCTTCCCCTCGAGGGTGATGAACGTTCACTAGAAAACATAGACCCCAAGGCCCCTTGCATAGCAATTACTTGGTATTTCCAGTGTTTCCAATTAAGATCTCTTCTGAAGAAGCCATCAGAGCCCTAAAATATGTCTAAATGCCCCCTCTCTGTTTGCCAGATGTTTGCCAGGCACCACCTAAACTGGTGGGCAGGCTTCAAACACTGAGTTGGTTTTTTTTTTTCCTGTGTAGATGTTCCCCATTAAGCCAGGGAGAGTCTGGAGTGGGAGTGCTATACTGACGGAAGATGGAAGATGCAGCATCTGCTGCTGCTGCTCTCTCCAGGGGAGATACCTTGTCCGACACAATCCTTTTGTATTCAGGGTGTTTCTGAGAATTCTGGGCAACATTTAGGGCTGAGGGAAAAAGAAGAAGCAAGGACATGGCCAAAGGTTTTTACACTTGCTGTCTATTCATTGTCTCACAGAACTTCATTTGAGGGACAAGCTTTGTTTTGTGATCTCCTTTGCTAGTGGATTGTGTGCAGTGGATATTTTCCTTTTGTCTGGCTGTTTCAGTTTAGCTAGGGAGCACCAACTCTGATCTGTGGACAGAATAAACACAAAAGATTGAAAATTCATGGTGGTTCTGTCTATTCTTGTATGCTTCATGTATGAAATAACTGATTGTATAATACAGGGAAATTGTATGTAGTTACCAAAATGCAATCATGCAGCAGTTTTGTTTTCTTTTTTTCTGTTGATTTGAACCTCTTGAGTGTATCACATCCAGTTAAAATCAACATTAAAAGGGTAAAAATGGTGAAATCACTGTTCAAGTTATTGCCTGAAGCAATGATCAGGTGAAATATTTTTATCTCCCCCCCCACCCTCTTCCATACATCATTGCATTTGAAATGCAGCACCCTCTGAAGCAAGATGGTGATACAAGGTTGATTTATTTCAGGAAGTGGAATACCTTTGGCACATACCCTTACCCTAAGACTACAGAGTATGCAGCCTTCATAATTTCTGAGCCATGTCTAGAGTTGTCTCCAGTCCTTACTGGAGACAGCTTATGTATTTGTGTTTTGATCATTCAAAATTAAGTCCGTGGAATAAATTGTAATTTCCAAGTGAAGCTGCTTCTGTTTGTGCTGTGTTCCACTGGTAACTTTGGCCCATGCAGTGAACCATGAAGTCCTTCAGCAGAATCTCCTGTGTACACGACGGCTTCCATCTGAACAATGGTAAATTCTTCCCTTGTGCTGGCACCCACCCATGGCCCAATGGCACGCACCAAACAGACTAGAAAAAAAAAGAGCTGGTTGCATGGTAGAAACAGGCCTTCCCATGAAAGCTTGGGTGAGTTCTGTGTGGTTACACTTTTAGACACTCAGCTACCATTGAGTTAGTAATTATTTTGAAATCTGCTATGGAAAGCTGATCTTGCACTAATTTACTAATTTTGAAAACAAGAATTTTGGAGGTCTTTTGTTTGGTTATTTTTTTGATTCCATCTCTATGAAGAGTATTCTGCAGTTTTTTTGTGCACAAATCCCAGGTCTTGATTTAGGTGTGTAGGTGTAAGCGTAGTGTCCATGGGTGTAATGTAAATTTAATTTTTAGATAAAATCTAGTTCTTCAAATAAGAAAATTGGATGATTTCCAAATACATAATGAAGAGTATAATAATCATCCAATATTCAAGGCCTTTTCTTTATTCATACAAGGGTAGTAAAGGCAAGCCATTTTTAGGTATGCTACAGAAGTATGGAGACTGATTTATAACTAAAGAAAGATACTTAGGAATGATTTGGGTTGCTGCTTCTGTGTCAAGCAGGCATGAAAAGAATGAGGTAACAACTAGAGAAATCAAAGAAATTCCTGAAAGCATTATAGACTTGATAATAGAAACCATATGCAGCATAATGGGGGTTTCATGCATTAGTAGGAAATGGTTTCGAGATTAAAAAAATATGCAGGGAGAAGAAGGGGGGAAACTTCATGCAGAATGGAAAAGACTTTAAAGTCTTCCTTACAATATCTTGTATCTCACAACTTGCTTCCCTAAAAGTGATGCCACCTAAGCTTCTTACTTCAAGATGGAGAAATGTGATTATTATAAAAATGTATCTACTGGTTATTTGGTATGAAAATTCATAAGTTTAAAATAGAAATAGATTGATAGCGATGTGATTCCTCAAAAATGGAAGATTCCTGACTTGCCAGAATATGAAAAGAAATCGTTTGACTTTCGTCTGCACACCAATAAATGTAAAGAGATACTTATTTGTAACACATGTGGATTGGTCAGGTTTTTCCTGGGAGCAAGATGTGTAGTAATTCTGTCTTAAGTACACTTAATGGAATTTAACTCTGAGGAAACAGTTTTATTAATAAAAACCTTATGTCTTAGGATATAAATCATAGTCTGATCTCTTTTGATGTGTTTGATGTTGTCTTCTGCAGAATAGGAATGAAGTAGTCTGTATAGTAGCCTGACTTGTTGGGTGACTGCTGCCAAGTACCCCAGCAGTGCAATAGCATGGGGAAAGCCACATGCTTTTTAGTCACATGTTGCATAGTTTAGATTTTAGCCTGGTAAGTGGTGCCACCAATGATTATGACCTGCTGATCCAGAGATTTTTGTTTTTAACCTTTAGGAAATTTGAATGTCTTTTCAAAAGATTTTATTTTGCATGCACTGCCTTAGCAGTTGTTCAGAGCAGCAGGACCTGGTACTTCATGTAAACTATAAGACTGAT